CCAATTACACTCACAATGTTTTAATTCTTCTATACACAGATTACTGTTTGTCTATTTATTATTTATGATTGTTTCATCTCTCTTGAAATAGAAACTGCAAGAGATAAGCAGGCAGGCAGACATGGAAAGGCTGAAGGATTATCTAACTTTAATGTAGTATTCACAACCCACTGTTCCCTTAAAGCGCTATTCCCAACTCAGGATTACTCATCTGTTGTACTCAAGCACACCCCAAACACTTGCCAGTGAGACCACATCTCCTTTCCCCTTTTCTAGCAGCAGAAAGAGCAGTCTCTGAGAAGGCTACTCTACTGCAACTAAGACTTCACAAAAAGCCAAACTTCATCAAAAGGAGTTCTAAAGGGGAATCCGTGTTTTCTGCAAAAATGTAAATCTGACATCAACAGAAAGTCTCAAGGTGAGCTGCTGGGAAAGTGCTTGGGCCCTGTATTGTACTAGTCTGCCATTTATGAGGCTGAGACCTTTGACAGCAAATCCTGTTTAGCTACTGTGGCCAGGGAGAATGGAGAAAATGATTCAATGCCAGCATTTAGCTTAGCTGAAGAGATATTTCTGAGGAGAGGAAGGTTCTTGTAGTTTAGCCCATACAGAAGAGAAGTCCATGGGAGCAGCTGACCAGGGGAAATCTTTTGTCTAACCTTTTGCCTTAGGTCTTAGACAAAGAGACTTGGATGTGGCACCTCATATCTGCTCAGATAGTCATTTTTACAACTTGCTCTTCTATGAGCTGAATTTGCTCATGAATTCATCCATTTTTTTTAAACAAACATCCCGAGGCAAGAAGTTTCACAGTTTAACCAGAAGTTTAGCAAAGGAATATCTACTTCGGTTTTCAAGCTGTCAGTTACTAATTTAAGATGTCCCTTGTTCTTTTAATGAAAGAGACGGTGAAAAACAAATCCCTATTCAGCATCTCCACAACACACATGATTTTTATAGGCCACTATCATATTCCCCTTCTATCTTTTCTGTATCAGGCTGCAGCGCCTGCCATCCCACATACAGGACCCATTTCATGCGCTTGGTCCTACTCCTTGTTACTCCCTCTGTACATTTGCAGTTATGCTCCATCTTTCTGAGCCTGGGGGACAGCAGAACTGCAGATACCATGTGCCTGGAGCAGCAAAAGCCACCTCAGTGCACACCATTCTGTACATAACATTTGGATTGTTCTTCTCATGTGAATCGCCTTTCATTTGCCCACGCTGATTTTCATATGCCATTTTATTGCCTAGTCATTCCACATCATCAGTTCCTCCCACAATTAACCACAGGTGACACTTGTCTTTTCTACCCAGGATAACTCAGGATCATCAGCACATGCTGCCACCTCAGTATTAACTCCCCTTCACAGGTCTTTTATGACAGATGAACAGCACAGGTTCCAGCACAAATCCCCATGCACTGCCACTGGTGACCTCTTTCTACTGTAACTTATGACCACCTATTACCTATCCTTAGTTTCATCGCTACCAGCCTTTTGTGAAGGACCTTATCAAATACATATCAGAAATCCAAGCAAACTATAGCATTCTACCCTGTTCACAGGGTTATCTCCTTCTAAAGACTCTCAATATGTTGATTCCTTTCCATAAGTATCATGTTCATCTGCTTATAGCTTTTACAGATTTTACTGTCACATACCAAGTTTATCAGCCACATCTTTCTGAAATCCTTATTTTGCTAACTATACAATAATGGCTTCAGATTTCACATCCTTCCATCATCTGCTATTGGAGCAATCCTAAAGAAAATACATTATCACAATGAGTAATTCAACCATTTAACTCTTCAGTCCTTCCAGAGTTCTTAGGCAAATGGTGTCTGGTCCTGGCAGTGCATAATGATTCATGGTGTCAACTTCCTGCAATCTCGTCTGCTGACATGGTATTGGGATAGCCATCTGGCAGATGGAACGAAAGGTTCCAGCACAGAAATTTCTCCAAGCTTGCTTCATTTTGCAAAATATTTTCCCAGTTTTTCTGCTCTGGCCTCATCTTCTCTGAGCACCCTTTTTATACTCAGACCATTTATTAGCCTCACAGACTCTTTCTTATGTGAAGTCTTGTTCCAGGAACAAGTTGCTCAAAAGAGTAAGACAGTACTCCTGGTGTAAGTATTTGTAATGTCTCCAAAAGCCCTGAACTGACACTAGAGGATTCCTAGGTAAAGCCATGTTTTGCTGTTCATCAGAAGAGCAACACAGAAGCATATTCTCAAACTGGTGGAAACAACCTGTCTCTTTTTATAGTGTATTTACTGGCAGCACAAGCTTTTTTGCCCGCTAGTGCGTTGATTTAAACATGATAAAACCCAAACCAGAGAATTTTAATAAAATAAAAAGTACCATGAGAATCTTATTTATCAGATCCTCTGACAGATCTCAAGTGCCCTCTCTACTAATTGAACGCACAACCCCCATTTCTGAGTAATAATTTCATATTGTTTCAGGCCAAATTTGTGTGTCAAATTTAAAGGTTGAGTTTGTTTTTCCTAAAGAGCTTGAATGCCAATTAGCATGCAGCATAAATATCACTCAGTTTTCAAATAGCATTATGAAACGCAAGAAGCATCGAGGAAACAGGAACCGCAGCTTTTGCCAGTTCCACAGCCTGAGTAACCTTAAACTCAGGTTCACAAGAGAACCATCAGATTAATTGGGGAGATCTATTTTCTCATACAGAGTTAAGAAAAAGGCTCTATTTTGAGTTCAGAGCTGTTTACTACTGCTGATATTTAATCCTCTGGTCTCCTGGGAAAGGAGAAAGAGCAAAGACAAATGCATCTTCAGACATCACCAGGACAGGTTTATGTCTCATGTGGGAAGAACTGGTGACAAGTCCAGTCTATAAAACAGATGATGAAAGGAGTAAAATTTGCCAGCAAGCAGGCACCATGTTTGTGCTCCTGTATAGCATTGCTGGCAGAGCAGCTTGCCCGGAAAGTCTCCTCCTTTTAAGGGAATCAATACTGTGACAGAACTGATAAATATATACATATAGCTGTTTGATTAAAAAAGGGAGTTTAAACTTTTGTTTTCTAATTTGCCCATTTAATAGGTTACCTACAAACATACACTTCAGGCTTTGGTGGTGGGTTTTTTTGGTGGATGTCATTGTTGGGGTGTAGGTGGTGGTTGGTTTTTTTCCTTCCCCCCCGCCTTGTTTTTGCTTTTTAATTAAAAATATGAAGGGTCTCATTAGTCTTTTCCCTGCCACTTTTCCGAGCTTCCTACCCTTTTAAGACCTGAAACTTTTCCACATGTCTCCAGCTCTGGAAAAGTTACAGACTGGCAATGGAAAAAAACAACAGCTTTCCCTTTCATGCCTTTCAAAAACATGTATATCAGCAATTTAAGTGGCTTGCCTTTTTTTTTTTACAAAACAAAATAAGATAAAAATTAAACCTAAGCTTTGCTTTAATCTTCTGTTCAGAAAATTGTTATAGCAAAAGTTTTTCCTGCTTTTGCTTTTCTTGTTTTTCTTTTGGCCAGAAAGCTATTTGCTTTAAAAGTTAACTGTGTATCCAGCAACATGTTACCAGCAAAAGGGATTCTGAAATGGAAATACTGATATTCTCCCCACTTCCTCTCTGTTACTTTTACAGTAAAAACTTCAACCATTATTATAATCACTATACATTAATATTTAGAATACTGCATTGTTGCCAAAATCTTCAAATGTGTGCTTCTGTAATTAATTTGTAATGCCAGCATACATCAAAATATTGAACTTTAGCATTATCTTTGAATGTGTTAGACATATTTATCTCTGAATATCTCAGACATAATTAAGCTGAAGTTATTTACAGATAAGAAATCCAAGCAGAGCAGTGTGGGAGTCAGAACTCCCTTTAATGAAACAGCCTATAATTGTAACATCTCTCTCTGTTCCACATTGGAATTATTCCATCTTTTCCTACAAAACAATTTTCAATCATGAAAACTGTTTTAAAGCAAGAAAACAGAATGCTAGAAGTTTTAAGAACTGCTACAGACCACAAAATATACTTCAAAAAGTAACATCATGAAAGCCAACACAATCCCATGGAATGTTTCTGTTTTGACAAAAAGACATTTTGGAAAACATGCACTGGCACACTTCCAACCAGATCTCACTGCAAAAACTGATGCATACTTTGACAGTGATAGTAACAGATATAGTTGTATTCTGAATCCCTCTTTCTCCTCAGGGCAATGTTGCCTCATTTTATGCAGAGTAAGAGAAATGACAGCAAAAAGTTTAGCTCATGGAGAGTGCAAGTGTATTTTCCAGTTTGGATTCTAAAGGGCGATGGGAAAAGCTGTGATAAAATACAGAGCGGGAAAAAAAATCAGCTGACAAACTAGAAAGATCTTTCACCCTACAGAGCTTCTAGCTGCTCCACCCACATGGAACAGTGCATTTATAGTTACTTTGTAAGAATTCCTGCAGAACATGCTCTGGTAAGGATGCTGGGCAATTCCAAAAACAGTTGTTACTCAAAATGCTATGTCAGAAACTTTGAAAAGAAATGGCAGGGAAATCCTTTAAAAGCATAATGGTCTGATCACTATTTTTCTGACATCTTTGCAGGAGGAGCTACATATTTTGTAATTATGGCCAAACATGATGTTCAGCTCTGCACTAATGAGCCTATAAACAGGAGACTGGAAGGGACCTCCAGTCAGTCACGGAGGTACTGCTTGCTAACTGAGCTTTAGAGGGTAAGATCTCTCTACAGAGAGCTGTATGTCTATAGTGAAAGAAACAAACTCTTCAAAGCAGCCCTTCAAGGAAGTTTTCCTCTATATTTAATACAGATACCTAAAACAGCATTACTGACCTATTTTAGCAAAACCCTCGCTCAATCAAGCATCAAGCTGACTCTGAAGGAGACAGTTGATGATGACTACAATATCTCAGAATGTTTCTGAACCATCAGAAGAATATGAAGTCACCTTTTTCACCATTAGGAAAAACTTTTACTCATAACTTTACCTTTCTACAACATCTTCTCCATTCCAACAGGTTGAGCTGTCCCTCATCACCAGGTCTCCATCACACAGCCTTTCTGCTATGGAGGCATAAAAGGTTCGGGATCGCTTCATGTAATTGATGAACTCTCTGTAACATAGGAAGAACACATTTAACAACAGAACAGTTCACTTATGGTTTAAGACCCCTGTCAACTTACCCCTCCACAAGATTTAAGAGTTTAGAACCCTTACAGTAATTGTGTCACCCAAGTTGATGAATTTCTATTTCTAGTGTATTTCTACTCCTATGCATCATCCAGCCTTAGTCTTACGTTAACACCTCTCACACAGAATTTGAAAAAAGTCTATACCTACTGTCTCTCTATAAACAGATTTAAAAAATAATGAGAAAACATCATCATTAAAGAAGTGGGCTTTTTCTCTGTTACTGGAAGTGAATATCTCTCAATTTCTTGCACGTGTGACATGAATTAAGCACACTGTCAACAACCTCCTGGGTAGAAAAGGCTTCCTAAAGCTAATATCCCATCACAAAGCCTGCAATAGGCTGTAAGTACCCCACACGTGCAACAACAGCAAGGAAAGTCATCTCCTTGAGACATGGTGGGGACAATTCCTCCCCATCATCACTATCCACATCAACTTATTAGAAAGAAATTTCTCTCTCATTATGTCTGGCAGCTCACAGCTGTTAAAGAGACTGTGCTTGCTACTTTGGCAAATAACCAAAACTACTGGCCAGTACAAACAGCCCATTTCTGATCATGTGTGTATGGAAAAATGCCTTGTGGGCAAGCTGCTGCCTCTTTTATAATCTGATTATACCTAGAATATCTATGTGGCTGAGGTAGCCATAAAGATAAACTGTAACGAGTGTTTGGTATAAGATGTTAAAGATATCGAGAACAAGATGTGGGACACAAGAACTGAGCTGAAGCTATCACAGAGCTATCTGCTTGTCTCAGATTGGGAAGGCCAAAGGACTCATTCTGGTTTATAATGTTGCTGCCTGGCAGGCTGTAAGGGGACACTGTGCTGAAGAGGTGCCTGGGGATGCAGCTGGATGGAGCTTGGCACAAAAACAGTCAGGATTTATTATTGAGAGCAACAGATGCTTTAAACAATATCAAAGCCCACTGCTAGGTATCTAGCCCTACAAGGTTTAGGCAGTGGTCATCTCTCCCCACAGCTGTCTTTATGCTTTCGCAAAAGCATTTAACCATCCCATTTATCTCATGTGTGATGAAATCCTGCTCTAGACAAATTAGTCATCACACGGTCCTAAGGAACTAACTTACCCTAACAATGCAGGAAAGCTGTCATTTTAAGAAAAGAAAAAAGCAGGAATTTGGGGGCTTATGGCAAAGCACTTGGTATTTCTACCTCTTGACCATGAACTTATGAATATGAGCTCTACGTATTTATACAGGAACGCTATGCCCAGACAAAAGGCCACTACCTGCCAAAACAGCCTAAGAGTATCAATTATGAAAGGTGATACAGACGCTAAAGGTTTTATGGGTTCTAAAATGGAGTTTTCTTTGAAGGCGGAAAAGAGCACCCTTTTCAGAGTCTACAGCTTGTCTTACTCTGCCCACTCCAAGAGGCTTAAAATCCTTTGCATTTTCAGAACAGGGCTCTGACATTTCAAAGTAGTATCTTAGCAAATCCAAAATTCTGTGTCCAACTCTTAATCTTAACAAGTGAAAATATTTATGTTTCATCAGTATAAAGCTAAACACACTAGGGTAGAAAACGTACCGTTTCCCAGCAACCCACACTATAAAAGCAGTAATCAAAAGTATGCCAATTCCCAGATTACAGACAAAACAGCAGCTTACAAAGGAGATGAGCTAAGAGTAGAGACAACAAAGTACGTCATCTTGTTTTCATTCTTACCGAGAGATTTTTTTCAAACTTCTTGATTTGTCATTCTTTGAAGCTTTCAGAGGCAGAGAACTGGAATAGGCCAGGGAGAGTAAGCATCAATCAGGAGAGGTTGGGGAGGAGGGGAGAAGCAGGAATTCAGGCAAATGAGGAAAAGAAATGAGAAACAAAAGAGAAAAGTAAAAATTATTTGAAAGAAAGGTCATCAAGCACATGCATAGGATAATATAAGAAAACAAATAAGAAGGAAAATTGTCATGAGATTTTTCCAAAGTATAGATGCAATTAAAAATATCAATGCAATACTTCAAAAAATATAGCCGAGAGTGTTTCTCCCAATCGTTTTCAAATAAGAGCACAATTAAAAATGCAGCACACAGCAAAAAGCTGAAAATAAATTCAGCGGTACTTAAATTAACTGTAACTGATACCAAATGGAAGAACTGTAAATGTGTGAGGCTATCCAAGAAAACAATGGCAAACAGTTTAGAATGAGCACCATGGGAAGGGGGATACAAACGAGCAGTGTTCATTTTCTGGTACAATGAGCAATTTTCTGTCTGTTAATAAGTAATGTGAATACACTGTTAATAAGTAATGTGAATACAGATATTTTTTGCTGTTCATTTCTGGTCAGATTGTACCATTGAAAAAAAGACCAGCTTTGCAAAACAGGAGAGACAGGCTCTAAGGTTGTATTGGAGGAAAAACTGTAGAAATAACCCTGGTAGGTATTTAGTACAAATGCATTTTATGGCATGGATATCCCAAGGTCCCTTAGTTAACATTAAACATTGTGTTTAAGATTAGCATCATGAAGCAATTTTCCACTTACATGATTTGATACCACATTCTGCTCTTTCTTACATCCATACTCTCAAGTACAAAGTAATGGCAACAGCTGGAGCAATGCATGACTGCAGACAGGTCCAATCCAGTAACTTACTGGAGAGAGTAAGCATCACCTTCAGCAGCTCTGAGGACACCCAGACGATAGTGGCTTTGCCATTGTACTTTCTGGGAGCTTATGGCAGGGGTGGCCACAGGAGAGGGCAGACATGCACTGATCATCAGGTGAGTGTCACCTACGATCACTGAAGCAGTGATTCCAACACAGCCAGTCAAAAAAGGAAATGAAAATCTGTAACAGAGAAAATCTGGACCTGCTGAAACTTCCGTCTTGGCCAGTCAATCAGAAAGGTTTGATTCAGTATAAAGCTAAACAGTAAGTTAATTTGCATCTGGCATTAATAATCTATTTTGTACTAGCACTTCAATACTCAAAATTTTAATAAAATTATGTGTTGCCTGACTCAATAGTTAATTTTAAACAAAATAGATGCCATCGACTTCAAACATCCCCAAAGAAACTCAAAGTTGTTTATTTTAAGATGTACGAAAGATCGGTAAGTTCACAATATAACAAAGAAAACCCAGAAATTATCATTTCAAAGCCCGTCTCCTCCAATTACGACCTAGTATCACATTATAGTTCTTTGTTAAACATAACATTTTTATATACAGATCTGTAACCAGTCTATGTTTAGTGGTTTGAAATATTACATGCAGCAGACATGCTAGAAGGCAGGTATTCAACTTTGCTAGGAGTCCAGACCCTGACCAGAATAGTACTTTGTGCTGAACTCTGTGATAACAATCCAATTTACTAATTGAGATTCTGTACGTGCCATATACTTTCCCTGTACCATCATATGGTTTCCATTTTCTTGTCATCTCTACTACATGTTCTAGTAACCTCCGTATTAAAAAAATGACTACAGCAGCAATCCTGCCAGTTTCAGTTAATCCTGGAATACTATTGTACTATTAAAAAAACGATACTAATAATCAAATCTATGCTCTTCAGCTTAATCAGAGAAAAATGTTTCCTACAAGATCATGCAACATTTATTCAAGTTCCAGCTTCTTACACTATTATCCCTGACACATAGTGTTACATAACAAAAAATATGCTGGAATGGAATGCAGGGGAAAATAAAGATGGGAAGTCTCCCAGGAACCCATGAGAGCAAGAGCAGCAGAAAAGGGTTCAACTTCCATAAAAGAGGATCCAATTGCTACATGACTTCAGGACCATGCAGGACCACGCTGTGCAGAGCAGCTGAGGGTGGGAAGGACTGCCTCCAGCCAGGCTCAGAAAACACACACCCAGAAGAAAGACCAGTCAGGCAAAGGGACACAATCTTAACGGTCCCACTTTTCAACTGCATGAGCAGCCTTGGCTCTACTGAAAAGCTGAAACCAGAGGTTCTCAAACTCCTTGGAAAAGGAGCTTAATTTTGTAACTGGCCTTGCAAAGATGTAATACCTTTGGAGCAAACATACATATGTAGGTATAAGCCGTTCAGCACTAGGTCTTTTAAGGGCATCTCTAAGCAGGTACTGCAGAAGAGATGAGAGGCCACTTTATTGTGGTTTCTGCTACAGATGTGCTAACCAGACTGGTTCTTCTCTTTGAGCTTGGGAATATTTTTACACATTAAGGGAATGAGCTATAGCTTTTCTGTTTACTTGGGGAATGCTGGCTCATTCCTCTTTTTCTTTCCTTTTTTCTTTTTAGAATAACTAAAAGGCAGGAGTCATGTTCCATACTTGCCTTGAATTAAGGCTCACTTACAGGGATGTCTACTACACAGACCAACAGACTCAGTCAGGCCGATTCCCTGTGTGACCCTGCACCTAAACTGACAGACAGTTGACATTATTGCTCTTCATTTTTTAAATGGCCAGAAGGAATGTCACCAAAAAAGATTCATGTAATCGCTCTCATAATCTAGTCCCCCTGTAGCAGTTATCTGTCACTCTAAGTGCATTTTACACAATCCACTGCAGGAATGATTTCACCCACCCATTACAAAATTTTATTACCTAAAATTGCATTTTATTGATATCATCTGTGATTAAATAACAGATTATGAACAACACAGTGATGTAGCCAATCACTGTGTGTTTCACTATCTACTGTTTCACAATTGTTTCCAAGAAGCAAAGTATAAGCTTCATACCATGTGTTTCATAGGAAGTTGTGGAAAACTTAAAAATATTTTCCACTTCTTACTAATTATGGCATGGCTCCATCATTCATTTTTGGTGCATAGGCTCTCCACAATACCTATCAACACTTATTTCAGTAATGTTTTATATTAATTATCTAAGGAGGACCTCAGTTTAGATTTTTTGATAAATTACTTTTCAGTGTGCAGACCAATTTTGGGAAACTGTCTAATTTACGGTATATTAGTTTTAGCATATTTTCTTTTCCATCTACAGGTCTTATATTTTTAAAAAGTCAATATCCAAATAACTCTAGATGGTTGGGAAGGGGAGGGAGCAGATCCTCGGGTGAGGAAGAACTGCAGTCACGCCATTAAAGACATTAATTTGCAAATGTTTAAGAGGTTACCTGTTAATAGGTTGGTAATTCAGCATACAAGTCCCAGTGAAGTCAATGAGTTATACAAAAGATGGCCTACGGCACTGTGTTTTTAAAAGCGTATTTTGTTAATTGTACTACAACTGTTCTTTTGATTATTACTGCTGAATTTATTAATTTAATTTCCCTAATGCTATTTCACTGATTTGCATGGTAAAAATTGATTATCTCCAAGCAGTAGCACAAACTGTTGTGTTTTGGTTTTAAATTACAAAGGGATAAAAATATCACTATCCCTCAAAAAACATAGCTTGCTGCTATTACTTTTATTTTTTAAAGCAGTATTTCAGTTAAAACTGTTTCCTTCATGCAAGCTTAGATGAGAATTATAATAGAAATGGATAAAAACCTCATCTTCACAGCTCAAATGTCACAATCCAGGCTATGGAAATTTTAATATTGCTGTCTGCCATCCACCTATCCAACATAGAGATACACATGGACTCCCTAGGCAGATATCCCCAGATACCGTTCTCAGGTAGAGGTATAAGCCCAGCATGATTCCACTCATTTCATGAAGCCGTTCCAGATTAATACTGGTATTACAGAGAACAACATGTTAACCAGAAATATGTCACTGTGATTTTATGGTCAGTTAACTCTGACATCAACTCCTGTATCATGAGTGGGATTGCAAAGACATCCTTCCCTCCTCACTTACAGTTTACAGAAAACCAATCCAGGAGCTACACAAGGGAAAGTGAAAGAAAGACTAGGAGATCTGTGAGCAGGGATACTCATGCCAAGGCCATGTCTAGCGTCTCAACTGGCACGCAGCTGAAGAACAGAAGCCAAGATGGACACAACAAGCTTAAACATAAATGCTTCTGCTCTTGGTCCATTATGTAACAAATCAAGAAGATTGCAAGGGATCTTATTACTCCTCCCCAGCCCTGTGAAATGAAGGACTGACTTTGTGTCAGGGCAATGAATCTTTCCTTTTCACCCCTTCCTTCTTCCCACCTCTGCCCCTGAATAAGCTCAAGTCCTTAAAGACCTGGGCAGTTGTATTTTAAGTATTTTTAAACTCATTTGTGGAAGTTACTCAGACTTTGTTGAGGAAAAGCTGTCATGATTTTCACTGAAAGTTTCTGGAAATAATGAACACCTTAGTATTAAGTAATGACATCAAGTTTGGCCTTTTGTAAAAAACTTTTCTTGGAGACACCTGCAATGTAATATCACAAACACATCTGTGTAACTATCAGTGATGTCAATGGCTGGATGGCACACAGACAAGGTGACAGAACTGTGGTTCTGACCTAAACACTATGGTGCAAGGAGCCATTAACATAAACCGTGAGGCAGAGAGCTTATTTCAAAGCAACTATTGCTTAGGGTTACCTTCTTTTATTGTTCAGACTAGCGTGAGCCATCACGAATGTCTGGGTTTCAGTCGCTTCCTTCACTGGCACTATATTGTCTGATGAGAGGTTCCCTTCTTGTTGTTTGGGCTGTCCACATACTTTATCAACCTGTATGAAAGGAAGGGAAAGGAAAACCGGGTTTGAATGGAAAAACTGATTTACAATTGCCCACAGGTCTGCTTGCTCCTTGTGGTCAGTGTTTACTGCAAGAGAATGTGTCTGAGGAGGAGAGAGAAAGGGTTCTTCTTTCCAGGACCTGGAAACTAGTCCCCTGCATAAGAATGACCAAATTACGAGGCGGCGCAAAGAACACTGCTAACAGAAAGCCAATAGTCATGGATTTGTCACTGGATACCTGGACTATGGCACACTTGTAAACAGGCTGAAATAGCAACTGACGGAAGTGTTGCCAAACCAAACTTTTATTTAGAAACATACCTGGAGTTTGAAGCTACACAGATTTTGGTGGAACATCTGCCCTGTATATAGAACACTGAGCCTATTTGGTAGTTTGAATGGGCTTGTAATGAGAAGACAACCAAGTCTTCCGACCTTTTACTAGACAATGTTCCCTTAAAACAAGGAAATGACAAAAGGATTCAGCACCAACAAACCACTGTCAATAAAGTCTTTTCTTGGACAAGACAGACTGAAAAGAGATTTTTAAGCCCTGGGAATCATCAGTGCCTTGGATCCTGGGTTCGGAACACTAAATACCACTCAGCCACTTGCCTTTGTTGCCCTTCCTGAAGCCTCTCATAAGGGATTTAATATAAGACCAGGAGAAAGCAAACTTGTGTTTATCCTTTGTGCACTGTGGATCTGACACCGTTCCTGCATCCTGCCACATTTGTTTACTCTAACAGCTTTAAGTGACAATAGTAAGACAAACTTCTTCCCTTTCTAATCCACAAATAAGCAATATGTAACGTTTTCACCTACACTTAAATCCTCAAGCAAACACAAAAAGACAATGAAAGAAATCCTACTGTGGGCATGGTACTACCAGACACCTTTATCACACAGAATCCATCATCCTGCACGGCACTAAATTTGGTATCCCTTCTTCAGTTTTCCTTTATAACCAGGGTGAGATGGATTCTTGCTGGTTTGTGCATTTTTCTGCATCTTTTAAACCCTTACTGAGTCACAACTGCCTATCTGCTGAATATTTCAGACCACAGATGACTTCAAATATTTTCTCTGTCCCTTTGCACCACTATGTTGTATATGTCAATGCAAGAACAGGACAATTTTCTCTACCTTAGCCCAATTGCTCCAGGAAAACTACTGCTAAGGTAAGATATTTTCCTCAGAAAAAACAGTCCAATCAAACATGAAAAGTTGAAAGTTGTATAGGCATGACATTTAACATCAACTTTAGTTGTATGAGCTACAGCCTGGTCCAGTAGAATATATTCTGAAGAACCTAAAACTGTAGCAACTGAATGTGAATGTACTGGATTAATCCTGAAATACCTCCAGCAGTCAGAGCCGAAGCCAGCTGCCTCACTTAACACCAGGCACTGTGTATATTGTTCCGGTCTCACCATGGACTAAAACAGCACTGCTTTAAAACACAACTTTGTGAAATAAAATATTCTATTTCAGTCCTTTCTAAACTTTTGAAAAGCAAAAAAAACCCCACTCTGTGCAAATGAAAATATGAAACAAAAACGCCTTTTGAACCCTTTGGAGCTGGACAGAGGGCTTAACACAGCTGGATCACATTCCTGCACAGGATGCTTTCTCTCCTGTGCCCCAGGTTTCCCAGGTCTCCTACAGCATGCAGACCCAAATTCCCAGCATAGATTTCTGCAAAATCCATCTTAGATTACATCATGTCACTAAAGTTCATGTCTTCAAATTACATACACCTCAAATCTAGTCACTATGGATTTAAGGCAGTTTTAACCAACTAACAGCAGAGTGGTTTGGAAAAGCAATGTGGTTCTCATACACATAAGCAATGAAGAACTCCAAGTATTTTGTTGTTCCTGTGAAAAGTTTCAAACAGATTTAAAGTCAACATTTTTGTTGGGAATCAATAGTTTAAGCATCCAAATGAAAATACTCACTTTGTTTTGATTTGTGTTTTTGATACCATGGAAATAAAACGACTCTTTAAACTGCAGAAGTTTCAGTATTTTCTATGCCAAACCTTAACCTTGGCATTTTCTTTTTAACCAGTAATAACAGTTTCCTGCACCACATAAACCACAGTATTTTAAGGAAAAAAATATTTCTCAGTGGAAAATTTTAACCAGTTCTATTCCATTAAAAAGTAATTCATTAAATGAAAGGGCAAATCACATTCACACTTTTTTGTCATGCAGGCCTTTTAAGTGCTTTTCTTCTCATTAATATGCTAAGAAATACTAGCAATGCCCCATAATTTCAACTACTACACAGACACTTTAATCTGAAGTGAGATTAACAAAATGGAAGATACAATAATGATATATTATTTGTAATAACAGTAGCTCTTAATGTCTCAGCTGAGATCAGGACTGTGTTTTACTGGCAAGAAAAAAAGATAGCACAAGGCAGTCCCCGTCAAACAGCATTTGACACTTAAAGGAACAAAAAGTGATGGGAAACCAGTGCAGAGGCACAAAGTGACTTGGCCAGTGTCACAGCAGGGGACCATGGCAGACCACAGCTCATGCTGCATGCAGTCAATGCCCTGGCCCCCTTGTGCAGCTGCACCCAACGGTCCTCAACCCAGACCCAGCTCCCCAGGCTGGTTCCCCTGGTGCTGCAGGGGCCTGGGCAGCTCCAGCAGGCCCAGGCTGGCAGCTCATCAGCCCTCTTGTCTTCTCACCCCTTTCAGCATGAAGTTTCTTCGAGGTTAGTGTGGACTACCAGATGCTCTTCCTTCCCAGCCTCTTCAGGGCAGCAAGGATGGAGGATTTCACCCCACCACTGCCCTCACAGTGTGTACAGGTGGTTTGAAAACTTAACGCCCATGAAGATGGGAGTACCCTCCATCTTTGGATGCAAAAGCCAAACTCCCTCCCAAGATATTGTCTCCCGTGGATCTTAGTTATTCCTATTTGGCATATTCATTTCAGATTTTAGATGTTTTAAACAGAAACCTGATTTTAACTCACATTTTTTCATGTGGACTATCTTTGACATCTCACTGAAACATGTATCTTTCTGCAAAATCAGAGAAAAGGATGAATTTTACTAGCTAATTTTGGCAGTCACAAAGTTGATGGCAAGGGTGAGAACACTCACATACAGAAAACCATCTTAAACTTCCAGCTAGGACATCTGTGAAAAATTAGTTAATGCTGTGTAAATTAAAAAGTATGAGGCATGCCATTAAAAAAAAATGCTTTCTGGAACTGCAACATCTGGAATCCACTGCTACAAATTACCTGCCTGTTAACAATGGTAAGAACATGGAGGGTTTCCCTCCCATCCTAAGGGCACGAGAAAACTGCACTATCAGCTTAACTCAGAGCTTATGAATCAAGTCTCACCACCCAAAGGAAAACCAGTGCTACTAAAAATGGTGAATGGGTTTCTAAGGATTTATTTCCTTGTATGTGTAACTTACTGCTTCCAACCCATCTGTTAAACTGAAAGTGTAGACTAAGTGATTTTTTTGATATATTTATTTTTAAACAGAAGCTAACATTCCTCTACTGACACTGGACATTAGAATTTGACACAATATAGAAAAAAAAAAATCAAATATTGGTAAAGGCAAGAGAACTGTAAAGCCTTAGCTGAAAAGAGCTGGAGATACCTGTGACAAAACTTAACAAAAATTAGTAGGAACAGAAAATCCATTGCTCTTTTCCTAAATTCAAATTTTAAGACTCAGAATAACCAGGAAACAACATAAAGAATGATTAAGCTCATTTACTTCTTTTGATTTTTAAACTTAAAAATAAGCCTGCCAATCTTAAATTACAAACTGATAGAAAATCATCCCTCTTTAACAATAACACCACTAAGGTCATTCCTCTTGTCTCTCTGATGATATTTAATCAAGTTTGCCTTCTAAGACAGAACACCTATAGGTGAAAACTAATATTCTTTGTACCTCATTATCTTCTGAATTATCAATAATGTTTCACAAGTTTATACACTTTTCTTTAGATTAAAGCTTTTTTAAACTTATTCACCAATGATTCTTCTTAAATATGTCTTTCTAAAAACCATAGCTACATTTCTTCTCCTGTGAACTTTCCTTTGTAATGAAATACAGAGTCATACATATAGATGGATTATTTGACCTCTTACTATTTGTTCTTTAAAAGAATTACTATTTACAATTACTGCAGAGCTTTAACATAATGAATTGAAAAAATCTCATCTGAAATCTTTTGAACTCTTGCAGCTTGAGCAACCTTAAACATTGAGGTCATATTTAATATACCTAATATAATCAAACAAGGGGAAAATGTCATGCCCTTCCAGATACCAAGAGAATCTTATCTCTCTAAAGCAAGAGACCTTTTCACTAGTTCAGAACAGTAATTTTCTTTGATTTTGTAATAGGAAGCTTAGTATTTTAAAAATAGAAGATTTTTCTAGTGATAGGGCTTTGAGTTATTATTGAAATGCTGACACATTTTCCAGCAGATTTCTGCCCCCCCGCTCTGTAACTCAATTTGGCTCTGTGAAAACCCAGCACCCAGGTGAGCGCCTCTGATAATTTACACCCCACAGCCCAGATTCCTGATGGCTGTGCAGGCGTCAGCTCAGTCATACCCCACATTCATACCCCACACCATACATGCCACAAACGCATTTCAAATCAGACCTGGAGTTTGCTGGTTCCAGCTACCAAGTTTGAAGTGAGGGAAGGAAGAAACACTGAGTTATGGGGAAATGAGATTTGAATTTTCAGACTTGCATGTTTACCATGAGATCTTATTTCCTTTGGGTCAGACATACCCATTCGCTCTCTACAACTACCTGAAAGGGGGTTGTGGTGAGGTGGGTGTTGGCCTCTTCTCCCAAGTAACCAGCGATAGGATGAGAGGAAATGGCCTCAAGTTGCGCCAGGGGAGGTTTACATTGGATATTAGGAAAAATTTCTTCACTGAGAGGGTGGTCAGGCATTGGAACAGGCTGCCCAGGGAGGG